CTAAAGTCAGGGGTGGTGCTGCAGGACTTGCATTGAGAGTTCCACATGCCTTCGCAGCGAGTGTCTGTAAGCTCTTGCAACAAGGCTACATGAGCAACGCCCCCGACGCTGACACTCCAGTTGGGATGGCGTGAGAGCTTGGCGTTCCGGCAGTGATAAGCTGATAAGCACAGAAGCATAAGAGGGCTCGCTTGCGCTCGATCCAAAGACTGATCCAGGGCAAGGGCCCCTCACTGGAGCTTCAAAGGATTGCTGTGCCTCCCAGGATTGCCCATGCAGAACCATGTAGTCATGTAGAAGCTGCAGAAGGCTCTGCCGGTACCAACTGCCTCAAGCTGCCCCATGGCTTCCTGGAGTCACGTGCAGCTTCTTCGGAATGTCTTGCACTTCCTGAGCGTTTGAGTTTGTAAGCAGGCCCCGAAAAGTCGCTCGTGCTTCGGAATGCAGTATATTGAACTCTCAAGAGCTTTGCGCGGCTCCTCCGTTGCCTTACTTCCAGCCAGCTTGATTCTACAGGGGAGGGCATCTGAAAGGACGTTTTGTTGACAAACTTGGTCGCGTGGCATTTGTCAAAAGGCTATGGTGGCCCTTGCTGACCACTGCTGTCCAAATCATGGCACTCCGCAGAGTTGTTCAGTGGCTCCTGAAACCGCTATCTTCGTCAGGTCTTCTACAGACCAAGGTTCTAAGTGCGTGAGGCTTCTGGTTTGGAAAGCTAAATCCAGATGTCAAGTCATGGCTTTCGCCTGCTGTCAGGCGCCCTTGCCACTGTCCCGCAGGGACAGACTGCAAGCCATGCTTCATCTCATGACAAAGAAAGGTACCGCGCAAAAAGCTCGCCTGCATATGCCTGCATGAAGATCGCATGATCGTAACAGAGGCATATGTCATATGTAGCAGGGCAGACGGGTTGGCTTTCATCGCAGGCTTGGTCATAAGAACTGAGCAAAAGCCTCGCGCAGGGCCGACCGGTAAGCGCGGGCAGAAAAGCAGAAGCCGTGCCAGGTGCCCGGAACTGCTTGCACGTGTGGGGATCTCGCGATTCGGAAGGGTTGTGTTGCTTGCGTCACTTTCGCACTGCTGTGGAGCTTAATCCTTCAACGATAGCTCGCGAGAGACACTGCTCTGCAGGGCTTGCGAAATCACCAGCCATGCAGCTAGAGCTAAAGTGCTCAAAGCATGCTGGGCTGGCACAGCATCATCATCGCCACGCACGATCTCTGGACTTCCACTAACGTGCCTGCCAAGGCCGAAACCTTCGCCGTGCGGTGACGCCGCATCCCCAACATGATCTCTAAGACCCGAAAGAGGCCAGAGTTAGAGGCATGTACAATGTCATTTAAGGAGTTCTGATGGAACGACGTCCAGCAGTTTCGACACTCCGCTTTTGTGCCGAAGCCCAGGTGTTGTCCTACGGAGGTCGCCAGAAGCGCAGGATCGGGTTCCAAAACAGGGGGCATTCCTTTGCTGACGTCCTGTGCATCCTTCATCTGGTCAGCACTTTACCATGTTTGGATTGTTTCAGAGCTTTTGCTTGGCAGTCCGCTTGCAACGCCCACGCTCTGCACATCGCTCGGGTGAGGCACTCGGCATTGCTATGGGTGCTGGTAGTCTAAGGACTTCTGCAAGAGAATCGAGTAGCTAAGCCCAGGTTGAAGCCGATCAGAGGCAGCCAGCCGGGGACCCTTGAGTCTGGGCAGTGGTGCACCGTCACGGCATCACGAGCCTTGATGTGGTCAAGAGTCGCAGTGGTGTCACCGATAATATGAAACCGCCCGCCAATGACATAATACGCTGTGAGGAGCCACATGGCAGACGCAATGAATATAGTCTGTGCTGCAGGCGGGATATTCTGTGCTGCAAGCGGGTTGTCCGCCCGGCCAATATAGCGGATTGCGATCGGGGCCATGGTGAATATTCCAAATCCTGAACCCACGCTTCGGTGTGCTCTAGCAGTTCGAATCTAAGGCCGAGAGCGCAGGAGCCGCAACGCAGGGGTCGCTGCGGTGTTGTGATAGCAGTCTGACGGGGTCAGGAGTCTTTCGGGACATCTTGGGATTTGTATACTTGCACACTTCCCCCTGTGAAGCAAACCCGTGGCTGATTTGGATGCCAGAGGCGGAGAAAGTTGGAGCTGCGTATGACATTCTACTCAGCAGTACCACTCGAGCACATGGCAGGAGCCCATGCTCCCGCCACCCGCAGAAGTCGAGGCTTGTTCCTCAGGGCAGACTACTGTATCTGTGCCGGGAAGCTACGGAGGCCCTGACCAGCCGTCTCACATTGCCTGCGACGAGGGAGGACCATGAGGAGGCGTACCCCGGCTGACTTCAGAAGTCTTCGCTTGGCCGCACGCAGCCCTTAAACTACTGTCGCAGAGGCTCCGGCATTGGGTTGCCATATGTAGCGTGTGCCTGCAGGCCCATCATCTAGTTGATGAAGGGCAAAGGACACTCGCCATAGGATGTGAACTTTTGCCAGTTACGCAGCGACACGTGAATAAAGCCGTGCTTTGCAATCACTTCCGCTTTTTGCAACACAGCATCTCTGTTTGCCCTGTAGATGCACAGGGAGACCAAACGTCGCATGCTGGAGCGAAGTTAGTGTGGTGACACAGCATAAGCCCTTTTGCATACACCACGATGCTCACAGCAGCTGTACGGCACCCTGTACAGCTTTTGGAGCACCCGTCTAATTTCGTTTCGCAGTGCCTGGTATTGTAGCGAGTGTACTCGTAGTGTCGTGTGCAGTGGAAGAGTAGTGCAGTGTGTTACATATCATCGCGTGGTGTGTGCGTGCGTTATTCAGACATCCTGGACACCCAATTTCTCGGCTACACAGCCGATTATATGAACTCGGTTCAATGGCTTGTGATGATTCAGCCTTTTGGCTGGGTAAGGGAGCACGTCGCTGGCATGTTGAGATGTAAGGAGTGGGGTTTCCACTTTTAAAGATGAATGCCGCATTGTTCTGTTTAGGGGTGCTGGACCGCCACATCAACTGTTCACCCAGGCTGCGAAACCTCTCACCTCTGGACAGGTTGCGTTCTCGGGAGGGCATCGTGGTAGAAGGAAGGGACGAGTTCAAAGCAATCTTATTTCCAGGCAGTTGTTGTCGGCTGTTTTCCTACATGCATATGTCTCCTGACATTAAATGGCCAAGTATGCTTGCGGCTGTCGCTAAAGCTCTCGCCCGCCTGCGTGCGTTGAAGAGCTCACAGACGGCACTTAGCCGATGACGAGACAAACTTGTTCGAGATGCCATCCATTCGACTTCTTTTGCAAGTGACTTCACAGAAGCATCGCCCAGATTCACTTAGCTTGAAAGAAGTATCCATCGGCAGTTTAGCTGAATCCAGCACTATCGTTCAGGACGAGAGTACGTCAAGCAAGGTAGGCCTGTCGGTTTCAATTCGAGTCCGATGGCGGGGGGCCAAGCGGCGCCACCTGCCGCAGCTTGCCTGCAAACAGTTGGTGCGACACGTGCATTGAGTCTGACAGGTAGGGGGAGCAGGACATCCGAGACGCGCTTTGTCCAGGCGAGAACACGAGTATTCTTCCGCTTCTGGGATGCCGCACCAGCCCCTCGGCTATGTATTTCCGTCCATCCGTCCCGCCGTACACAGAACACATAGAACATGCAATGGTGTGAAGCAGGCTGCATGTTCCGAGGTTGTTTGAAGAAGGTAACAAACCAGGCAGAAGGGCAGAAGGGCCACGCCAACAGCATTGCCGGGACGATGAATTCCGGTCTAGAGCACTCTGTCGATGCTCTCGATGCAGAAGGGTTCAAAGTTCAGTTCCCAGCTGCTACTTGTATTGACTTCGCGGTCCATTCGGACAGATGGGGATGCGAATGTGCAGAATGCAGGGTATGTGAAGCCGCCCTGGCTTTGCCTAGGTTGGACCACACGAAAGCGTTCGAGTCTTGGGCAGCTGCGACTGGGCCTACCTTCCAACGCGCATTCTCAGAGCAGATTCCATCTAATGTTCATAGCCTAACACCGCGTGAGCCCCTTGAAGTCACCGGAAAAAGACAGTCACCGATGTGCTTTCGTTCTTTAGCGGTGATTATATAGCAATGTTACGGATTGCATCCTGCCGCCTTGCTAAACAAGGGCACACCTTCTAAATGGAACGGGTAGAGGCCCAAGAGCTGCGTCAGCAAAGGCGCGCGCCAGGAAGTTTGGCCCCGTGCGTTTCAGCCGAGGCACCGAGCTCGGCAGCTGGGATCTGGGCTCGGCTGTGCCTTTGAGTCGCGTGGAGCAGCCCGTGGCCCCAGTTGCTTTGCCAGTAAATCAAATGCTAACTCAGCTTCCTGGGCCTGGGAGGCTTCGCTAGCTAAGGCTCCCAGGGGCTTGAGTCTAGGGTACCCGCTGCCCATGTTATATTCGGAGCTTGACTTGGCATAAGAGCGAGCCCCGCACAGGCATAGTCCCTTGGCAGTTGTGATTGAAAGTGTCCATAGCAGAGATACTTACTTGTAGTCTGGGTATCGGCTGTGGTGCTTCGCAGGCACACTGTGCCACAGTTCTAAACATCAAACTCCTGAGTGAAGTCAACCAAATGCAAGCGATGTGCCATGGTTTGAGCTCGGGTATCGTTTTCGTCTACCTCGAGCTGCGAGTGCAATTGTGCTGGTAGTCTCGCAACTGCACTGAACTGGCCTGCAGCTTGAGACATCATGTCAGGTGCAAGGGATGCTGGTGGACCACGCACAGCGTGAGGAAGCTCGCTCTCTTTGGAATGTATGACTCAAACTTCGAAAGGTATCCTCCAGCCAAGTGAAGCCTTTAACCTACTGTACCTTGATGCCTTAGGCTTGCATGCGTGACGCACCGATCATACTTGGATCTACCTGTACATGCCGATACCATCTGATTGAATTGAAGGAAGCCCCAGGCTAGAAGCTTTTGGCGTGGCCTTCAGATCCAAGCGTATCACACATGGGGAGGCGATGCCAAGATGCGAGGTAGATTCACGAGGCAACTGCTCCGAGAAATGCCGCAACCAGACTTCAGCTGTATCATTTTCGCAGAAACCTCCAGACTCTCCTGCAGACGTCCAAGGATCCCTTTGAAGCAGCACTTCGAGCCACTTGGCAGGGTTCTGTGCTCGAGGCAACCCTGATCTGCCGCAGGACGGCAAGCATGAATAGCTGTTGCCATAGGAAGCTCTATAGACTTACGTCTTCTCGTTGGCGCTGTCGCAGACGGCAACTCCGGGCCGAGAGCAGGTACCGCTATGCCATCTTCCATTCCGAAACCGATGACTTCATCCGGTGGACGAAGGAGCTCGTCCTTCGGGGACGACAGACGAGAACTGTATACACAAAGTTGAGCTAACGTCGTGACACTTCACCCTACGAGCGGCACACAATTAACGACCACCATCCTGAACTGAAGGAGGGAGAGGAGCCGCTCTTCGCGGTGGCGACAGGCCGCTGGCAGCCGGTGTCTGTTTGGGATTTACGGGTTCCAAAATGTCGGGATACTACAGTTGTGCAGTTGTCGTGTTTTGTCATGTGTGATTTGCTTCTCTGTGGCGGCTGAAAGTCTAACCGAAACTCCTCATGATTGTTGTCTTCCGATATATGCCTTCTACTTCAAGCTTGCCTGGAATTTCGGCGATCTGCACCGTTGTTCGTTGCAACTGCTTGGTGCGCTTGAAATCCTTCTCCGCTTTGCTGTGCGCCCTTTTCTTTCTGCTATCTCGTTGCTCCACAGACGCTGCTTGCTGCGCTAGTCCCATTGCCATCGCTGTAACTCCTACCATTCATTATTCACGTCTGTATCGTATATGCATACAGACACACACTGCTTGCAACCTGCACTACGCTATTTCTCACGAGCCCTCTCACATCGAAGCCTGAGTCTTGCAGACCTGATGGGCTTTGCACGGATGGGAGACGCCCTCTGCACTAGGCCCTCTCTTTTCTGTTTTTGTGCTTTGCCTGTCGGAGGTCGCACGCTGTGTCTGGAAGACGACAACGGCCGCTGCCGTGCCACAGGCGACGACGAAGCAGGGCAGGCAGGGAAGCCGACGTGCAGCTTTCGGAATTCCAACGGAGTGCATCTTTGGAAAGGTTCTTGTGTTCTGTGAGAGGTTTTGCCGGTGTTGATTAAGTTGGAACCTAGAACGGATTGAAAGACTGGAAATTACAGTAGCAGGTCACGGAAAGCAGTGGAAGGAGGGACACGCCCCAAAGCAGCGTCGCGGCCCAGCGCACGGCATCGAAGTCTCTCCAAGCCGCAGATGTCGACGGTCGCCTCTCGGGGAGCATCCCTGGCCGCAGAAGCGTGCCTTGGCGAGTTTGTGTCGACGACCAATCATGTGTATATTTGTACATACATACCTACATACATACATACATACATACATACTACATACATACATATATAGAGCTTACAAGTTCACAAGTACCTCGAAAGACTGTTCTACAGTGCTGCGCAACGCCTAAGGAACTCGGGCAGCCGACCTCCCAGTCCCTCGGGCTACCATGGGACGCTTGTCGAGACACCTCCCGGCCTTCAGGTTTTCGCATGAAGGCACAGCGGGTATATTGGAGGCTTTACAGGGAACTTCTCGGACTGCCTGCTCTGCTGTACTTTCGGCTTCGCGTTCGATGAGGTCACTCTGCCGCTATGCTCCTCGAGACAGCTCGGATAATTCTGAGCACTAGGGATGCGCAATTGGAGACTCTCTCCGTTGGGCCGAGGAGCCAGCCAACAAGCCCGAGAAGCCCAGCATCCCCGCGATCTGGAAGCTGCTGGAACGTGCGTTCAAAGTCCATGGATCCCTGGCTCAGACCAGTCGAGGACTCTGCAAGTTGCGAGATCCGGCATATGGCAAACTGCGATCATCTAAACCATGCAGCAACTCTGATGATGCCTCAAAAAAGTCGGCAGACCCTTTAGTTCGGTTCTGCTGCTTTGCGCGAGTTGCAGCCAGTTCCCTCCTTCAGGGCTGCCGTGATGTAACATTGAGCCGAGAAATTCTCTAACGGTTAGAGAGGGCCGGCTGGTGAGTCCCTTTCCTCACAGGTTTCTCACAAGTTTCTCACAGGTTTCTCGCAGCCTAGTCTAGGGGATTCCCAGCAGCCAGGCTTGGCGGCCGGACCCAGTGAGAAACCTGTGAGCGGGCTGTGAGAAACCTGTAAGCAGCTGGAGTTTGGGTCCGGCCGGTGAATCCCTTCCCTCACAGGTTTCTCACAGCTTTCTCACAGACCCTGAGCAACCGGATATCATTTCTCCCCGCTCACAGGTTTCTCACAGGAAAAATGACTTGATCATTCCCAACGGTCACAACTCTAACCACGCATGAGAAACCAACAGCAGCAGTTCGCTTGTACCTGACACTGAGGACCTGACGCAGCTGTGTGACGTCACAAGAGACTCTGTCGCACAGTCGGGCTACGGCCTCCTCGGCATCACAAGACATCCAGGTTGCACCGCTCCAGAAAACTTCACCCGATGATTGGCCAAGAGCTGCCTTACCCCCCTGGCTTGATGTGCACAGGGAATGTGGCAAGATGTCTTAAGACATGCATGCACCTTCAGTGACGGGATGCTGAGGCGAGGACAGCGCCTTCTTGGTGTTCCGAAGCCTGCCAGCCACTGGGGCTTCAGTGAACGCACCCTCATGTGCATCTCATTGCTCATTGCGCTCATGTCATGGTCACTCGTCGTGCATCGTGGTTGCCATGTTTTGTTCTGCGAGATGACAGGGTGAGGCAACACTATAACTGCTCTTGGTGACAGTGTCTAGCCTTGTCATCACTGTATGTTATGTTGTTTGTTTCGTGGTTCACATCTTTTCCGAGGCTTCCTCGTTCAAGGATCTGGCATAAGCCGTCTGTAAGGCATCGCTTGCCCACACATGGAACAGAATCATACGCTATGCCCGTGTAAGACCGGACAGTTCCTTTTGCCTGGTTTGCTGCTTAGCTTGGCATGCGACTTAGGTAGTGGTCAAGCGAGCCGAGAATGGGGACTGGCAAGTGGCTTGGCCAGTTAGCATCGAAAACTTTGGCCCCAAATTGCAGACTTGATAAATCCAGTGCATACCATTCGAAGCCGGTGTGATTAGCCAAGAAGCGTGGAGATCCATGTTTCAGAGTTAAGGATTGAGGGGTTGCCCAAGCTTGGAGGTTCAAGTATGTGAGGCTGGAAGTAAGCCACGACGGCTATGGCTGGGGTGAAGGCTTCGGGGGATTGATGGCTTTTAGGTTTGTCAGGCCTGCAGCCTGAATTCGGACTGAGACTTCAGGCAAACTGACTTTCCCTTTGCATTCTTGTTTACATCCTTGTGATCTCTCAGCTTCTGTTGCCGATCTTTCTCACTTTCTCATAGCTTAATTGATTTTACACCTTCGGAAGTCGACAACCAAGCAAGCCTGCGTGTTGTTGCTGGAGGCGACGCACGACTATCCTGAAAGATTTGCCCCCGAATGCAACGCAACCGCTCGCTCGAAGGCAGTTTTTGCAGCTAAGAAGCTAAGAGGTTCTTTTTTCCAGCCAGCACAAGTTCAAAGCATGGCGGGATTGCAGGACTCGTCTTTGTGTTCCTGGCCCCGAACTTCAATACATGACGTGTCGATGTTTCTGGATTATGGGAGAAGCTGCGCTCGGCTCGCTGGCCATGCTCAAGCAAACGATCAATTTCCGGTGAAAAGACGACTGCCATTGCAGATCATTGCGGCAAAAACGTCAAAGAGTCAAATTTTGAGGGCCAGCAGACAGCCGCTTGCCTTTCAAAACCGAGGTTGAAAAGATTAGCCATGGAGCCGGAACTGCTTTGCCCCTGCTGAAGCACTTCACGCTTCTCAAACAGCAATTTACATTCGTGACGTGGACTTCTAGTAGTGAGTTGCAATGGCTTGCTAGTACCCCGTTGATGATTACAGATTACAGGTACTTTGGTTTGGGTGGTTCCTGACTTGGAATGCAAACTCTTGGAGCCGGAGTGAGGGTGCACGTAGCAATCCACCTCTCGTTGTCGGAGTTGTCAACTTTCGAGATACCGGCGCACAGGTGCTGGCCGAGTTCTGAGAGTCTCCGCTCAGTGCATGAGTACGGCTGTCGCAGGACTTTTCGTACAATCGTGAGTAAAGAGAGCACCAACGGCCAATACTCAGGCAGACTGGGGTCAACAAGCCTCCGACGGGTGAAGCCATTGATGTGTCTGTGAAGTTCATCGGGCACCCAGGACGGGCGCAAGTAGGCAGCTGTAGTTACCAAGTTGCTGCAACAGCAAGACGTTTCAGAGGCACATCAATCTGATACTGAAGGAGGAGGAACTGCAAATATGATTTGGAACTAGAACGTTTGCCAAAAGACTAGGCGAAATCTTCTCCCCCTAGGTCAGCATGCGGGTGGTGTCGAAGCTGACTCAATTTGATCCTTGCGCTTTCACATTCTGTCAGCCTTGCAGGTGTATGTGTCAGAGATGATGCGGACAGGCCCGGCTGCAGAATGGACACCGCACCACTCAAGCTGACGACAGTCGAACAGACAAGGGAGCCCCATAGAAACGTGGATCCTTCCTCTAAGGACCCCTTCGAATAAGCAGAGAGGCAAACCGTGGTGGCCCGCAAGTTCCTGTCATATGTGACAGACGGTTGCGCGATTCCCGCTTTTGGTTCGTGCGCAAGCACGTTTTAAACAAAGCCTTTACGCATGTGGTTTGAAAGGGGAGGGGGGGTCGTAGCAAAGGACAACAAGTTAGTTGGTTGATAAGAGCCTGCAAGACACCAACAAAAAGCAACGGCAGAAAACAAACAAAAGCAACAACCTTACAGACTAGTCTCCTAGAAAAGTGGTTTGTTATTGCGTTTGTTGGTTTGGTTGATGCTTTTGTTTTAATTGTTGGGTTCTATTGCCCATACGTGCGCACACCCGTAATTGATTTCAATGCAGCGCAAGTCGTTTTAAAAACATCGCAAACCCAGTTGTTATGCAAGTTCTTGCTGTTAGCTAATATCTGATACTCAATCATATCCTGGATGCATGTATCTACTCTTCGTCTAAGTCTTAGTTCTTAGATGGACAACCAGGTGATATCGAACTATGATATGACCTGCTTTTTACATATCTACACAGATGTATATGTATATTCAACCAGAGTACACGACCAACAAGTAGTCTGCATACGTCATGATGTTAGCACGTGGCTCATATATTCGACCTATAGTCGATGCATCTACATAACAGTTTCAAGCATTCGGATACCGTGTCACTATGTGCTCACACAAATCAAACATTTAGTATATCTTTAGTACGTGCCGCACTTGCTAAACGGCAATAATGCACAACATAATTTGATGCGGAATCGATGATTAATCAATTAATTAGTTCTCACGTAGCATTTGCTGGACCCCTTCTTTTTTCACCAAAATTCAGCGTGCGTAAACAAAACTAACCACCACTGACACATGTATCATAACTAACTATTAGCGCAATATAAAGTAGGGGTCTTTCTTTTCAAGATACGAAACTTTGAAGACGTAATAGACAAGCGTGTTTTCTTTTCTGGGCATGTTGAGTCTCCATTGTTTCATTATGCAGGAGATAACGATAACTACGAAACAGGCGAATCATCGCCTACATACTACTTACCGCTCAGACCAAACATGTGAAATATATCACCTTAGACATTCGTCATGGCACAGGAATGGCACTTGCCGTGCACTGAGTAGGTTCTTACCGGCGGTGCAATATCGGTTACACGTGGTTGATCTTGTTCTTGGGTTTCAACTGCATGTGCATTCCATTGCCTGAACAACTGCCTGCGATGAGTAGGATTGAACTTACGGCAATATTGTCAAGCTTTAAGCGTGTACTACCGGATTGCTTGTTAATTGTGGAGAATGTTAAGATGGTGCAGTTATCAAAAACAAAATGGACCATTTGTTTAGATTCGTTAGATATCAAGTAGATGTTTAAACAAATACGAGTTGCATACTAACTTAAAACATAGAAACAGATTGTTACACTGTTGTTGAGCTACACGAACAGTACCTAAGCCAGGCAAGTACACAAGCACGCAGCAGATATCAATTGAGTGGGAGGTACTTGTGGTTGAGAAATGAGCTAGGTGCTATCAGATGTATTCGCCACCTATATGCGATCGACATAATGCTTGATGTTGTCTCTCCTCTTAGCCGTGCTTCCTTGACGATCTTGCCTTTCCATCCGCAAATGCGCTGTTCAGCATGAAACTACACCTCTTGTCGTACGAAGAGAAGCTACCATGAAATTGGACATCTGGCTTTGGGGCCACACACGTACGTGTACGACATACAAATACCACCACTTGCCCAGATCGGTGTTTGCAGCGTTTTCAGTTCGTACCATCTACAAGCATTCGACATACTTACTCCTCTGAACCAAAGAGGGGGCCAACCGGGTTTCCCTCCCTAAATACAGAACCTTGGGTTTTCTGAACGCCCCACACTCAGACACAGGAAACAGCTCACAGACCTCCTGGCAAAGCATTCCTGCATCCCGGTTTTTCTCGACGAGGAGCTCAGTTGAGCCGAGTTTGGAGCTTTAACGCCTTTCTTTGATTTAGGGCTTCAGGAAGGCTTGGCCTTGCGCTGAGCCTCACAAATGCAGGCAGGTCCGTGAAAGTTATGGGTTGGCAGTCATACGAGGTGTCAACGGAATCACAAAGCCTGACATCCAAAAGATGGTCGTGGGGATGGCACATGTCTCCTCCAGGATGTCGTGCAAAAGCACAACTTCTTCGCAGATCCGCGTCAGCAACTTTGTATTTGCAAGTGCTTCATCCGATCTCAGGGCCAGTCTCAGCGAAGGGAGGCTGGGCGGTAGGGCCTTGCGCTTGTCCAGACCTCAGCCCTCGGCCACTACAGTACTAGCCATGCCAGCAGCAAGGGATCACCGCTTCTCATCAGTTGTTGATAGTTGCTTGCGTTTTTTGCAATTTCTCGATCCCTCTCTGTCTCTCTCTCTTGCTTTGTCTCCATCTGTTTCCTGGTTGGCATGAATCATGTCTTCGAGTGCATGCACGCCTGCATGCCGTGGGGCCAATCGAGAATGGCATACCGCCGCGGTTTACTGGGCTTACGGTTGAAGCTCGGCTCAGCCTCAGGAAGACTATTTGTGGCCCGTTTTTCACAACATGAAGATTTTCGATGCGACCATCACCGGTGACCATGCGGCTTTCCAGCACCAGCGGGGTATGAACCGCCGCAGCAAAATGTCGGAGTACGACCTGGGCAATTCAGTTTTCCAGGAAGTGTAGTTTGCGCTGTCACTATGCAGCAATAGTAGCACACGGGCCTGCTTGGAGTTCCACAAGCCTCTCCGTGAAAGGATTAAGTCTTCTGGCTCTGAGGAGTACGAGTCCTTCGACAAGGCACTTTGGAAGAGTTTCCTAAACCTGAACAACGCGTACGCGGAGGTGATTACCACGCACGGACTCTTGGCCACAGCCATGCAGATTTGGGCAAGACAAATCAGAGCTTCAGAGGTCTGCTATAGTACCACGAACTGTTTTGCTGGCAAGCACTTCCACATTCTGGCAGAGAGGCAAGAGACAACCCTTGACCTGAGTGCTTCGAAGGCATGCCTCTGGCTGCTGACATCGATGCACAGCCTGCCCTCTCGAGCAAACCAACGAGCCGTTAGCTGCTCTTCTGAGGTGATGAGAACACGCTTGTTTGGATCCACGACTACGAGCTCGAGCCTTCGCCTGCACACCAGGCTTCAAGACTGACAACAACGCCATTGAGACCATGCGTCGCTATGCGGTGGTTGACCAACCCAAGTTTCAAAACAGAGCAGATCTTCCCAAATTACTTGCAAACCCCGGGCTGTGCGAATCTTACCGACTGCTTGTGTGTGAGCACACACTTGATTGGACGGAACTTCGACCCGAGACCCCTCAAGTCAATGCAGAAGGACGGCGTGTCCTTGGGATCTCTCGTAAGGTGATGGTCCCCCGCTTCGTCTACCACCGTGGCTTTGCTGCAGCATGCTGCCGCCGTCGCTCAACTCTGTACAGGCTGCGATTCTCGCCACGGCCTTTTTTGCACTTCTTGCTCATTGCCTGCATTCCGTGAAACTGAGGCAATCCAGACTTCACCACTGGTCTTTTTCTCCACTGTGCCTTTCCTAGCACCGAGGTGGGACATTGCGAAGGGGTACGTGCATACGACAGAAACAGACGACCAAGCAGGGACAGGGGAGAGATCGAGAGAAGCACGCTGGCAGCGGGTATTGTGTCGGACGGCACAGGCAAAGAGAGGGGAACGTCAGGAATCTCACAACTTACTCTCTAAGCTGGATCATAGCAGTCAAGCAAAGGGGAGCAGTTTGCCGACGCAGTGCAAGCAGTTGAAGAGGGAAGACTGCACAGTATGTGGACCGAAAAAGAGATAAGAGCAGGCCAGGACAAGCGCACAAACATCGCTTGCCTTGTTGGCCTGCAGGTGATGAGCTGCTTGCCCGTCCGAGAGGACATCCTCCAGGGCATGCTGAGCAGCAGGCCTCTGTTTGCCCGTGCATTTCGCTGCCCTTTTTAGATCTCTTGCCAGTGCCAGGCTGGTGACTTTCCAGACCTTTGACTACCTGAGGCGACTGAGCTTGGGTTCTCGCAGCGATCGAAGCTACAGAGTAGAACACTTCCCGCCTTGCCCTGCAACCTTGGAGAAATCTGGACGGCAGAGTGATGAACTTCCGCCGTGTTTGTCTCCGCATGCACTCCTCGTCTTCAATGTACCGAAGTGCCGATCATCCTCAAATCTTTAAGTGTTTGCTGGGCTCCGTACGAGGCACTTCATGTCCTGCTGCTCCTCAGTGCTGGGAACCCGCCACTCCTTTCAGAAGGGTGGCATCCTGCAGGCAGGGACCGGGTGACCAGAGCGCTGGGTTTCGACAGGGTGGGTGCTCTTCAAAAAAGCAGATTTTGATGTGTTATGATGTGTTCTTTCAGTCGATGCGTTCTCGAGGTCCGGTGTTTGTGCGTTCGCCTGCGGGCCTCCTTGCTTTGTTTTGGATTTGCGAAGTCGGGCTTCATGCCGTCTTCGAGCAAACGCCGGCCTTCCCGCAGCCATTTGTAGCTGAACAGCTTCCGCTCGGCTGCGCAAAAGAGGGCATCGCTGAAGATCGCTCAAATGTGGGCAGAGGTGGACTGGTTGCAACTGCCAACGATCATCCAGGACCCAGCGCGGAAGCAGGAGCTGCAGCCACTTCTCCAGGCCCGGGGAGTTGCGAAGCGAAGCGGGCACAGTACTGCGCGTACTGTAAAGTGACACACTCTCGGCTGTCTGCACCTCCAGGCGGCCTTGGACTCCTTGGAGGTGCCACTGCCGGGTCTCTGCGGTGCAGTTGATACTTGACCAAATTTCGTGCAGATGTCGATTTCGCAACGTTGTGCTGTTTTGACCGCTCAGGACTTTTGCATCTTGGGCGTCTTTGTGCTGCAGGCCCAGGCGATGTCTGGTTTGACTCTATCGGCAGCCCTGGGCCGCGAGGAACTGCAAGCCGTGATGAAACGAAGCGTTGAAGACATGGTGCCGGTTCTGAGCAGGTACCTTCCTCAAGAGCGGACAACACTGCAAAGTGAGTTTGGTGCCCAACGCGGTGACACACTGCCCAAAGTTGCCTTGCAACTGCTGGGCCGACTGCTTCACTCTCTCGCAGACCTGCCCACGCAGAACGCAAACGACGCAGAGCAGTTCTCCTTCGGGAAGAATTGGAAGCAGTTCATCGAGAAAGGCCGGCTTTCCGCCGCTGGGCTGCTCAGCTCCGTGCGGGAGCTCCGGCGCTGCGCAGGCGGCTTCGGCTTCGAAAAACTGAAGGTCTTGGACCTGGGCTGCGGTTCCGGGCTCAGCTCCTTGGCCTTCCGACTGCTGGGCGCCGAGTCCGTCCTCTCCGCGGATGTCCAGGCGGCGTCTTTAGACGCTGCCCAACAGCTGAGACAGCTCTTCAACGAAGACGAAGAATGGCAGCTCGTTCAGGCGTCGGCCCTGGATGCTCGGTCCTTAGCTGGCCTGGGACAAGTCGATATTGTTTATACGTGGGGCGTCCTGCATCATACAGGTGATGTCTGGCAGGCACTCCACAATGCTCAACTGCCCTTGGCTGATGACGGCCTGCTGCTGGCGGCACTATATGCAGAAGAGTTCTACGATGAGCACGACCACATCCTGCTGATGAAGCAGTTTTACCGGAATGCAAGTGCTCGGCAGCAACAGGACCTCGAGATTGCCATAGGCACGGGAATTTTGCCACTGTAATGTACCTTCATGTTTCGACTCCCCACAAACTCAGGGAAAGGCGACAGCACATCCTTAGTTCTAAGCTTGCCTCTTTGCTGCACTAGCTGGCAACAGGTCTGGAGTGGCTCCGCCCAATGCTGCGGGACGGCCGAAGCCCTTTCGAAGTGATGCGGAATTTTTCCCAGATGCGCGGGATGGATTTCTGGACTGATGTTCGCGACTGGTTGGGGGGCTGGCCCACGGAGTTCGTGAGCTCCTCTGCGGTGCTTTCCTTCGCCCGCCGCGCAGGCCTCCGTTGCATTGGCCTGCGCCGCAACGGTGGAAACACCGAGTTCGCCTTGACACGCCCCGGCGGTGTCGAGAGGTGGACTCAAGGACGCCGCTGCGAGCACCTGCCTGGCTTTCAAGAGGATACAGACGGAAGCTTCTTGGCGGTCCAGGAGTATTTCTACTTTCGACCCGACAGTGTCTCTCCGAGAAGCTGGTGGTTTTGCAGGTTGCCCGAGTGGATGCGTGAGTTTTCCGATGGGCAGAAGGAGCCTCAAAAGAGCCGTCTCTTGCTTTTGACGCAGGAGGGAGAGCCTTTCGGTTATCCAAGTGCCCAGTTCGCTCGCCCGGATAGCCTTGCGGATCCGCGGTTATCCTTCCATGCCTTTTGGGAGGGTGTTGCCTACGTGTCTCCAGGGCTGCCACAGACTGACCTGACTGGGCTTCGAGCGTGTCTCCTACCACCAGCCGAGCTCTCTGCCCAAGAAGAGGCAAAGACTGAGGCTCGCGCACAGCGGGCTGGACTGCTCTATGATAGAAATTGGAAACCGGGCTAACAGATGGTCGAAGTTAGCTGAGAGACGCTGACAAGTGAACTGGAGGGTTCTCGGAGTTGATGGTCCTATTGCGCTTGCAGCTGGCACAGTGCATCGCAGTACCCATGCCGGCCTCAAGGCGTGGTTAGGAAGACACTTCGAGGCAGAACTGCATGCTTTCAGCGTATTCGAGGACACAACTACGGTAATTACGGAGCATCAATACCTGCAGCTGTTACTCCTGATTTGAAGTGACGGCTTGAGTCGTTGCAGTCTCCAGGCAGACGATGCTTGGTACAATTGCTCGCCTGAGCATGGCACGCTACCAGCGGCTTCTTTACCACCAGCGCCAGCTGAAACAAGCAACTCCTGGTTCATCACGCCTAGCTGCGAAATGATCAGTAATTGGTCCGCAAGTGATGCCATGCGGCAAGGAAAAGGTCAGCAGCAAACATGCAACACTGCAAGGTCTTGATATTGTTGTGCTGATCTGGAGCTGTGAAGGTTGAACACGAGAATCGGAGCGTCGTGGTCTTTGCTGATCACTTCACCGTGCCCTACAACCATCTAATCAAGAAGATCTCTGATGAGAAGGCTGGATTGCCGGGGTGTCTCATTGTGGACCTAGGGTGCCTAGCGAAGGTACCGCATAGCGCTGCAGCATGGTGAAGGGCTTTGGCATCTCACGAGTCCGGCAGGTTGTTGAGCGAGCGGCTTCCATCCGGAACCAGTTCAAGGGCAAAACAATCATCGGCGACTGGGATGGCAGCCTTTCTGGGTTTTGGCTTCGGGGACCGGCTTCGGGCAGGTAGTGGGCTGCCGACTCGGGCATCTTCAGCGGATAAGACTCGTGTTTGTTGCTGGGCGGTGGGATGCACGGGATGCAACACAGGAGTCAGGATGTATCAACCCGAGACAAGATCCTTGAATCCGACAATCTCTGGCTTGCGAGGTGCCTATGACCGATTCGACTGCTTCAGCGGGCTAACGCTCAAGCTGCGCACTTTCCACCGTTTTTTGCAGGCGAGGAGTACTATGTCAGAAGATCCACTTGCACCGATCGGGGGCTACTTAATGTCGCCAAGGTGGGAAGATTGTTGAACGGGGTGAGTTGGCAGCTTGAAATGTCAGACCTAGGTCAGTTCCAATCTGAAAGAGGGACCACCTCCTCGTCCGTTTCTTCCTCCTGCCCCTTGTGCAGTTTTTTCTTAAGGGACTCCTCAGACTATTCACATTTCATGAAGTTGCAGAAGTTGACACTCTGGCAACCCCTTGCAGGAGTATCGCTCGCACAGGCCAGCTGGGCAGTGGCGGAGTTTCCTTTGGGTGCAGTTCTCTGATATGACCACAGCTTAGCAGCTAAGGCTCCGACACCCTTTTGTTGCCTGAGTAAACCCATGCCTGCAACGTCGGCTGGGGAAAGAACCCAAAATCAGATGTTGTTTTCCAGATATTTGCGCAGTTTGCACCCCGTAACTAGCAGCTGGGCTTGGCTTCTCGGACACTGAATAGCACATTAGCTTGCCACAATGACCGTGAAGCAGAGAGTCTTGACGGAATTTGTGTGCCGACTGCGCTCTCTCTCTCTCTCTCTCTCTCTCTCTCTCTCTCTCTCTCTCTCTCTCTCTCTCTCTCCTATATACCACTTCCACGACTACGACTACTACTGCTGCTGCTGCTACTACTACTACTACTACTACTACTGCCTACTACTGCCACTGCTACTGCCACCACGACGACGAGTACTACGACTCTATGTACATACACATACATGCACATACATACATACATACATATACATGCGACATCCGTTCATGCATGCATATGCACGCACATGCAGATGCAGATGCACATGCACATACGCACGTCCACATACACACGTCCGCATACACACCTTCACAAAAATGTGCACCCACATGCTGATATATACATACATGCATACATGTGTATGTATATATAAGTATATATACATATACATGTACACATAAACATAAGAACATACCTGCACATACACATACATACATACATACATACATACATACATACATACATTACATTGAGTGTACAGATACATACAAAATATTCATCTATTTCATACGGTGTATGTGTGAGTACTTCCTACAACAGGGTTTCGCTCCGCTATTGGATAGCGTTCTAGAAGGGACCACAGTCAACCTGGCGGACAGTAGGGGTTGCACCTGAGAGCTCAGGCGGAGTGTGGTTCTTGTACAGTACATTCGTGGGCGTGCCACGGACTCGAAACGGAAGGGCATGGCAACTCAGCTGCAAGAGCCTTGGTGATGGTTTGGAGGCTCCTTTTCGGCTTCCTCATCCGGTGTACTAGCTGGGGATTGTCATGTCTCCTTCCTCCCCGCTCGTTTTTGGTAACATTGGCCACCAGTCTGCCGTGACCCTGATTGGCGGTACAGCACAGATGTTCCTCGGTTGATGGCTTGACCACCATCATCTCGATTCCGCGAGAGATTGGCCTTGAGTTCAGGTGAGCATTGAAGAGCTTCGGCAGATGGCGGCTGCTGCCTCAGTGGAGTCTGTGGGCTTTGGGGAAGCGGCCAAGGGGCCAGTGTATGTGATCACCGCATGTATTTCGGTTTGGAGAGAAGCCAGACAGATGCCTAAGACCACCACGTTTTCTGGTAGCCCTTTGAGGGCCTGAGCATGTTTTGTCTCGATATTTAGCCTTTATCTTGCATGAGTCTATACTTCGGCAGCATTCGCACGCCGGACGGGCCGGATGGGGACCCATCCAGGTGGCTCTCATATTCTAACCTACGCAGCTGTGAATAATCGTGGTATGTCTTTGTCAAGCATCTGCTCCGTGTTGATGCAGAAGCTCGCCTGCGACAGCACCCACAGTTATCGGTTCGGAAGGGGCCTCATCCATGAGACTGTACGATGTTCGCTGCCAGCCAACCCATCGTGCATCGGACAAGGACGCCACCAACAAAGCCTTCGGTGTGGAAGGGGAGCCACCACTGGTCACCATCGTTGTGGAGGCACGGCACGGACGTGAGCTGGCCCGCATCGGATTGAAGCCTCAGCAGCAAAAAAGCTAAGAAAAGGATGTGAAAGATTGTCGACAGTGCCTGAGAAAACGAAACCCCAGCTTCAAATCCCAAGAACTGCCAGGAGACAACAAGAGAAAAGCAGCTTGGAGTCCTCTTGGCTGCTTGGCGTTTGAGTTCAGAAGGGGCTTCGCAGGTAGTTTTTCGAGGCTGCTGAGCTTGTCTGAAGTTGCACTCAAGAAGCCTCAGGAGCTGAAAAACGGCTGAGGGAGGCGGACAAACTAAAAACATATGCCCCTACAACCACGGAGTTTAAGGCAAGTTCATGGGATTTGTATTCTATTCTGCCCTTCCGGACCCGACCCATGATATCGAGCTCGAGGTCGCGGGCACAGTCGCATCATCCCAATGCGGTCGCATCACACGCTTGCGCTAGCCGACTTCCCGCCCGAGACAAGCTCAAGAAACTGGAAGCTTCAAGGCGACAGACATTCTGCTGGACACCTCCACGAACGATGGCTTGAACCTCATTCCATTCAACTTCTACGCGGCGCACTCGCAGGAGGGGTTTCTGCTTTTGCACAGTCGCAGCGACACAGACGGACTGACGGACAGGCAAGCAAACAGACAGACAGAGACGGACCCAAGACCGACAGAGACGATCATAGATCTACAGACATACAGAGACGCACAGAGACACAGATATACAGATCATCACCCAGTGACTCAAACCGTTGCCGCTTCTGCCGCTACTGTAGTGCTCCATGTTCTGTGCTCTGGGACCCGTCTCTCGACATTCGTGAGCCAACGCATACCAACTCGCCTAGGCACCACCACAGACAGCTTTCAGTCACTAGTCAAGCAAGCCTGAGCTCGGCCATTGCACGGCTGCTTGCTTCCAGTGGCAGACAGCAGACAGCAGAGGACCAGAAAGGCGTGGCGTTGATCTCCGAGTTCTGCGGCTGCTCCTCCGTGTTAACAGGTGGAATGCAGCTTTTGTACTTGGCGCAGCCTTGTCTCTGGCATTGTATGCCGCACTGCGGACAGCGGACAGGTGCCTTCAAGATCAATCCTTGGAACACCGGTGCTGCAGTGAGCTCGGAAGAGAAAGGTCGACTACTCTATCCCACGGCATGGCGACGGCAGCGCAACCCCATCGAACTCTGCACTCAGGTCCTTACAGCCCTGGACCAGGCGATCAGCAGCTCGGGCTCTGGAACTCTGGATCTGTAGGCCTGTAGATTTGGATCCGCAGTGACTGGGCTGCCGGTTTCTTTGCAGACCTTTTGGCAGCGTGGTAAGCTCGCGCAATAACAGCGGCATTCCGCCGTTGGTTTGGCTTTTTCACCTTACAGCATCGACCCGATCTCCACCTTTAGAGACATTCCGCATTCGTCACGGCACGAGACTCGAACTGGGTCGGGCTGCTTTCGTGCTGAACCATTCTCTTGGGGAGTCTCTGTGCTGTGGTCATTCTTGTCTGGAGTCAACAGCACCCGAGGTATCACTCCGGAGGACCAGGCTTTGCGATTCACCAAGGCTCCTCGTCTACATATATGGGCTAGGTGGAGGTCACCGAGTGTTTCCGTGTGAAGAGGTCCATGCAGCTTATGATAATGGCTTAGAGTCTTCGAGCTCAAGGAAGAAGTCGTGTTTGGAAGTGATCCAAGGACCACTCCTATGTCTCTTCACAGACGCTCGTTCAGCTCCTGGGCTACAGTCATTCGCCCTCCATGCGCAATGACGAGTTCGCAGCCGCATCTTCCGATCAATGCATGACTGTCAGGTGGGTCCACAAGAATCTGTCTGAACTGAAGGTCACCAGGAAGCCGCGCTTTCGTAGACACTTTCTAGCGCGGCAACATGCATGCATGGACACACGCGTCTGTTTGTCGATACAGTCCAGGAATAGCAGAGACCTGACGTACCGCGCATCCATGGCAGGCCGTGAGACAAGACACCTTCTCGATTCGGGATTCCCGACTGTGGTTTTGGATAAGACTTTGGATGCCTGCGAACCACAACTCATGTGGCCCAAGCGCCCGGTTGAGTTGGTGCAGGTCCAGTGCACCTGCCTGCGGAGGAAGTGCTCCAGCTGCATGCAGCAACAGATCAAGACAAGTGGGCCACAGGTTCCATGTCGAACGCATCATGCTACCACCTGCAAATTGTAGATCTGCACTCACCGTTCTACTGATCAACCTATGGTTTCAGTGCACTTGAAAGTGTACACGGTTTCTGTGAGGTCGCTGCCGCTTACAATGCCGCAAAGAAGCGCGCAATCTTCCTTGACAACGAGGCTGGTTTTGGGAAGCTTCTGACAGCTTAAGCTACATGCAAGGTTGCACGGGATTAGACTGTGGCAAGGTTTGTGCAACTTGGAAAGACCGCCCCTTGTTGCATGCTTGTGGCAGGGGACTATTGCAGCCAAGCAGAAGTGGCAAATTGAGTTGCATTCTCAGCAAGACTGGATGCAGAGGATGTTCGTTCGGATTCTGGCTTTGCTGCAACTCACTTGCCACCGTTATGGCTTCAGGTCGACCACAATGGTGGCATTGCAGAAGCAAGGCCTGATCCTCTTCTTTGGGGCCTTACTTGCTCCAGCGGCAAAGCTCGAGCTTGTGTACCCGGCATTTAGGGCAAACTGCACCAATTGGATCAGGCAAGGCGTTAAAAGTGAAGCCACAGGGCAACTGGACTGGTGACACTAGGGTCACTAGGGTGATCGTCGGGAGGACAGCCCCCGGACCCCTACGTCGTCGACCTCCTGCAGACCTTGGTCAACGATCGCGGGAACACCGTTGTTGCCTCATCCTCGGGAGAATCAGGGCCACGTTTCCAGCCAAGTGACAGTGCTGGATCTCTGCAGTTCAGCACACAGGGCAAAGCACAGCGCTGTGGGACGTGCCGGCGTGGATGTCAAGAGTCTCTAACACTCTAGAGCACAACGCCCACCAAAGCGCGGAAAGTGAGCCAACAGAGACATCAGTTCTCCGATGGATGGTTGCCGAGGTCCTGTCGGGTCGCAACAAGCAGGTCATGGAGGCCAAGCAGGGGGTGAAATGTTTGGACCACTTAGGGCTTCTTTTGGATTCTGAGGCTCAGGCTGTGGCATGCGAATCGTCCCTTTGAGGGATAGAACATCACCCCCAACATCGGCGTACCTCCTACAGACGTCAAAGTCCTTTTGGGGCCTCAACAGTCAAGCTACCCCTGCACCGCCTGTCGGAAACGGAAGAAGGAGTGGTTTGGATCTGTTGACGGCCTCGGCCTCTTCGCCGAGCACGGCTTTCACCGGCTCCTTCCGCGCACCCTCCGCGAGGCGTCTTGAGGGCATGGAAAGTCACATGAGGCGTTGCGGTGGCACCAAATGGGATCAGTTCCTTTACCGCCACTGTGAGGCACAGCAGCAGGACGGAAGCGAGCGAGCATGGAAGTTCCTCAGCTGTGATTTGGCAGAGTAGATGGGAAAAAGACCCCGAAGCGGGTCCGTGAAATTGAGAGCAGAACCCAGATGCTCACGGTGCTATTGAAGACTCTGAACTGCTTGCTACTGAAAGCACAAGCATGCCCTGGACTCAACCATTTTGAGACGATCCGTCTTCTCCATCTCGTTCAGCCGAGAGCGCGATGTCATCCAATGGGAATCTTGCAGCTCCGTCATGCATTTCGGACGGCTTCGGGTTGCTGGCGGGAGGTCCTCGGCTATTGCGGACAACAACCAGGAGTGGAAGGCGGATCCGTGCCAGTGAGAAGTCAATCATGCCGGGGGAGCACCCGGGTTCTGCCAGGCATTACCCATGTCAAGCGAGCTTGCCTGTAGAGTTGGGGATGAATCTTCCACCTTGCAGGCTTCTAAGACCTAACATGCTGAGCTCACTGCCCAAAATTAGCGGCACGTGCGAGGATCTCTGCATTGAGCTCATGAAGCAATACGTGCAGCGCATTCAGGGCAGCATCCTCGAAGCAAAGGCAGGAACGGCAGGAAGTCTAACTTCTGACAATTTTGCGCTGCGGGTAGAGAGGGCCCATTCCAGTCCAGAGACAGTTCGGTGTGCGCCATGGCACAGGCGTGTGCCATTTCCTGGAATTACCGTGAGGCCGGGCTTCCAAGCTGGGGAACAGCGACGGCGCACCTTCGTAGTGAACAGGTCGGTGCCACAGGAGTCATCGACGACGTGGCTCTTGAGCTGGTGCGGCGCTTCAGCCAAAATTCAGGACCCTCCGCCCGTACCTCGAGCCTGCCCAACAAGTCGCTCACTGCCGGTGCACTAGACTAGACTAGAGGGAGAGAGGCGGCCTGCAACAAAGGTTCCTGGATCCGGAGGTGCCCACGGGACTCCTTCACGGATATCCCGCCTCCTGCCTGCAGACGGACCGAATCCGACGGGCATTTGGGGATTGAAGGGGGGGGAGAGGGGGCAGTCGGCCATTGGTGGTCGTCGGCTCTCGAGGTGAAGGTCATCATGGGCAAGGGCTACGTGGAAGTCAAACGTGCAGACGTCGACAAGGACTGCAAGCCTGCAATGTGCCGCTTTGCATTCCTTCGTGGGTTGTGCTGAAGGGCACTAGGCAGACTAGGCAACAGAGCCATAAGGGCAGCACCGGCGATGTCAAGAAATGGCCAAGAGCATCGGAATGCCTCTACGTTGCATGTACGCAGATTCGCTTTCTCACCTCGCCTTTTGCCCACTTTTTTTGCAAGTACCAGAGAAGGACAAGGACCGTACCAGAGATCCCTTGAAAGATTACCGAAAGCGTTGGCAGGGCCGAGCCGTCATTAAGACCTTGGAAGAGCTGGGCAACGTTGACTTCGCCGCTCAACTGCCCCCAGCAACACTTGCGGTTTGGGGCCGCTTAGGCTTAAAGTTTAAGGTCGCACACACCTGTATCCCATGAAGGAACCAACTTTGGCAGACATGGCCTTGAGCCCTTTCCTACCACTTCGTCACCGAGTTTCTGAAACACAGCAGGTGTCGCAAACATGCAGCCTTCCATTCCAGAGGTCCTCAGCATTGGTGACGATCGATCCGATGAGGATATGCCGCTCTGTCTGCCTAAGCTGGAGGGGAGGGTCTTTTCCAAGCTGTGGTTGGGGATGTTCCAGTATGGCTTCCAGACGGAACGCCGGACTATTGCTGCGCAAGCAGGATTAGGAAGATGAGCAGAAGGTGCGCGGGGTTCAAAGGAGTCTCGACGGAAGTCGCTTGCTTTGTGTGGGCGTCTGGCATCTGCGTGTGACAGAGTGTCTTGGTCCCAGGTTCGAGGCGATTTCGGACTACTTCAAGCGGGCTCGCACCTCAGCAATTCGTGCGAAGAGAATCGGGGTTTACATTTTGTGAGTGTTGATCAAGTGGCGAGATAATGGCGATCTCGGTGATTCACAGAATCCACTTGTCAGCCTTGGTGGCTGGTCCTACTTAGCCCTGCACAGTTTGCCCATCGAGCCTTATGCAGGACTAGAGCTGGCAGGGCACTCTTCACTATATTACACACAAGACTCTATGAACACAACCGCTGAGTTGTGACGTGGGTTTGTTGGATAAAGGGTTCTTGGTTGCTTAGCTTTGATCACGGAAGAGCGCGAACAAGACCACACACATTGCGGACGAATCGTTCCTTATTGGCACAAGACACTGAAGAGCCGGCGTGTCGGCAGGTGTGCCTCACGTCGCATACCAAGCATGCCACTGGACTCTGAAGACTTAAACCCGGATCTGCAGGTCCGCAAGCAAAAAAAGAATCAGAAATGCCGTGTCTCGCCGAAAGCTTTGACGACTGCCGCAGAACGGGGACGGCTCTGCTGTGCTCTCCGCCAACCCTTCGCAGAGCTCGCTGCGACGAATCGGCGCTGGCGCTTCGCCGCTTTGTTGCTACCAGCTACCAGACAAGATGTCTCTTTTCTGTCTGTTGCGTCTTTTGTGCCGATTATTCGTTGGCTTGATGCCTCTTTCGAACTGCTGCTTGATGTCAAGGTCGATGGCCTCTTCGCTCGACGGTCTAGCCCCATCGCCCAGCGATTCGCCCAATCTCTCTCCGAAGGCCGACCTGCTTTGCTGCATGTCTTTCTTCGCACATGCTCACGTCAACATTTCGCGGGCTCCGGGCCTTTCCGCATGCCCTGCAAGGACAAGAAGGCCGTTCGCTCCGTGAACTTTTGCGACAAAGGGGTTGCGGCCTCGGTTGGGTCTCGTCTGACCTGCTGGGTGTGCTCTTGGGCATCCTGTGGCTTCGATGCTGACCAGAGGTGCCAGCGAGTCGCAATTCAAGTAAAACCAATCCTCAAGGACGGCACGACCTCAGCACCCTCGCAATCCAATCTCTACCGCATGGCCGGCAGCTGAAGTCAGGGGTCCTCTTTGCAAATCCACTCTTGGGTCTTTGGGCGAGCGTTCATTCTGGGCTCTGTAGTTCTGGGGTGCTGTGTGGAAGTACAAGTCCCTGGTGCGTTTGCAGTCCTCATCCACCTGCTGGTTCACAGCGACTGTGGGGCGCAAGACCACACAGGCAAAGTCGGGGCGCAGAGGGATGACTGGAGCCTGCCATGCTTCTTAGGACTTCATGGAAATGCTATTTTCGGAGGACACTTGGGCTTTGTTTTTCGGAGGAAGCAGCATTCTGTTGGTGCGTGGTACGTTTTTTTCGAACGGAATCCAGACATTCTAGACTTCCGGCCTAGCCGTTAGGTTTCTTTGTCGGAGGAATTCCCGAAAGCATCGCGAAGGGTTCTTCCGTGTGGAACGCCGCAGCTGAGTACATAGATGACAGACATAGAATCAACTCACTTGATTCCATACTTTACTCTACACTCTACACTTGATACTTGACTCTACACTTGATACTTACTTACTTACTTGACCCTTATGACTGACACTCTACACTTGATACTTGACTCTATGTTATGCTTACGACTTACTTACTTACTTACTTACTTCAATCTACTTACTAACTTACTTGACACTTGACACTTGACACTGGACTCTATGTTATGCTATCTCTATACTTACTTACTTACTTGACTTGCTTACTTATACTTATTATTACTATACTTACTTACTTATGACTGACTCTCTATGCATCTATGACTTACTATGACTTATGACTTACTCTCTACATCTCGGTATCTTAATATTTCTTAATATTGGCGGGGGTGGCACCGTCGGGGTCCATCGGGAATGCAACCCTTCCCAGGGATTCGCTGCCTCGGGCGTTCAAACGCTAGGTAAAGTGACACATTTTAGGCGCACCGGCGCAACCCTTCCCAGGGATTCGCTGCCTCGGGCGTTCAAACGCTAGGTAAAGTGACACATTTTAGGCGCACCGCGCAACCCTTCCCAGGGATTCGCTGCCTCGGGCGTTCAAACGCTAGGTAAAGTGACACATTTTAGGCGCACCGCGCAACCCTTCCCAGGGATTCGCTGCCTCGGGCGTTCAAACGCGAGGTAAAGTGACACATTTTAGGCGCACCGCGCAACCCTTCCCAGGGATTCGCTGCCTCGGGCGTTCAAACGCGAGGTAAAGTTACACATTTTGCGGTTCCCGCGCAACCCTTCACAGGGATTGGAACTCTCGGGCGTTCAAACGCGAGGTAAAGTTACACATTTTAGGGTTCCCGCGCAACCCTTCACAGGGATTCGCCTCCTCGGGCGTTCAAACGCGAGGTAAAGTTACACTTCTTGCGGGCGCCGCGCAACCCTTCACAGGGATTCGCCTCCTCGGGCGTTCAAACGCGAGGTAAAGTTACACTTCTTGCGGGCGCCGCGCAACCCTTCACAGGGTTTGGGTGCAGTTCAATTTTTTTTGCAACCCTTCACAGGGATTTGCATTTTGCAACCCTTCACAGGGATTGGCGTGGTCGGGTGTTCGAACGCGAGGTAAAGTTGCATTTTTTGATTTGCATTGAAATGAATTTTGCAACCCTTCACAAGGATTGGCGTGGTGGAGTGTTCGAACGCGAGGTAAAGTTGCAATTTTTGATGAGCATTGAGATGAATTTTGCAACCCTTCACAAGGATTGGCGTGGTGGAGTGTTCGAACGCGAGGTAAAGTTGCAATTTTTGATGAGCATTGAGATGAATTTTGCAACCCCTCACAGGGATTGGCGTGGTCGAGTGGTTGAACGCGAGGTAAAGTTGCAATTTTTGATGAGCATTGAGATGAATTTTGCAACCCTTCACAGGGATTGGCGTAGTGGAGTGTTCGAACGCGAGGTAAAGTTGCAATTTTTGATGAGCATTGAAATGAATTTTGCAACCCCTCACAGGGATTGGCGTGGTCGAGTGGTCGAACGCAAGGTAAAGTTACACATTTTGCGGTGCCCCGCGCAATCCTTCATTGAGAGGGATTAGCTTCCTCGAATGTTCTAATCGGAAGGTGTGCAGGTACTGTTGCATGGTCTTTGGGCGCTGCGTGTAACCCTCTGCATGGATTGGCGTGGTCCAGGGTTGAAACGTGTGTGCAAACTACTACTTGTATCCTTTCCGCCGTGCAACTCTCCACAGGGAGTGGCGTGGTCGATTGCAGGAACTTGCATCTCTGCGAGGTGCAATTGGCAACCCTTCAGAGGGATTGGCAGATGCATATATCGATAATATACGCACATATATATATATATATATATGTGGTCGATTGCAGGAACTTGCATCTCTGCGAGGTGCAATTGGCAACCCTTCAGAGGGATTGGCAGATGCATATATCGATATTATACGCACATATATATATATATATATATATATATGTGGTCGATTGCAGGAACTTGCATCTCTGCGAGGTGCAATTGGCAACCCTTCAGAGGGATTGGCAGATGCATATATCGATAATATACGCACATATATATATATATATATATATATATATATGTGGTCGATTGCAGGAACTTGCATCTCTGCGAGGTGCAATTGGCAACCCTTCAGAGGGATTGGCAGATGCATATATCGATAATATACGCACATATATATATATATATATATATATATATATATATCTATCTTTCTATCTATCCATATATAGATAGATAGATAGATAGATAGATAGATATAAATATATAGATAGATAGATAGATAGACATATATTCATGCGCCTGTACGGCGCGTACGCTGTCTTGCGACGGCGCAACGCGCCGCTGCCTGGCCGATGACCTGCAGGCTCGGAGCTTCTTCCTGCTTTGTAGAGGCTTTCTCCTTGCACACGTTTGACTCGCAGGCTGCCTGGTCGATGACCTGCAGGCTCGGAGCTTCTTCCTGCTTTGTAGAGGCTTTCTCCTTGCACACGTTTGACTCGCAGGCTGCCTGGTCGATGACCTGCAGGCTCGGAGCTTCCTCCTGCTTTGTAGAGGCTTTCTCCTTGCACACGTTCGACTCGCAGGCTGCCTGGCCGATGACTTCTGCAGGCTCGGAGTTTCTTGCTGCTCTGTAAAGGCTTTCTCCTTGCACGTTTGCCTGCCTCGTTTGGCTCGAAAGGCAGAAGAAGGGGAAGAAAGGGAAAACGCGTTGCAGTATTTTGCACACATTGCAGCATCTTACTACACCTAGTACGCTTCCTTGCCTGCCTTGACGCTGTCTTGCGAAAGGGCCGGTGTGGAGATTATTCTCAGCTTATTCTCATCTTCTCAGCTGACCATACTTAGGACAGTTGTTTGCCCGCCTCGACGCTGTCTTGCGAAAGGGTCGGTGCAGACACTTTTGCATTTGAACATACTTGGGACAGTGTTTTGCTTGCCTCGACGCTGTCTTGCGAAAGGGCCGGCGTGGACGCCTTCTTCCATCCCATGGATTCGCGGTTGCAGAAGTTCCGCGCCGATTATGCCCAGCAGGGCGAAGACTGGCTCCGCACCGAGCTGGGGAAGCAGAGTCGGGATGAGCTGGCTAAGCTCTGTGTCGCTGCGGGTGTGCAACAGAAGTCTGCCGGGCACAAGCTTACCAGAGCGGAGCTGTTGGAAGCTCTATCAAAGAGCATTGCCGGGGAGCAGGCTTCATGGGGAAGCGGCGTTCTTGAGGATTGTCCATGTCAGCTTCGGTTGCAGTGAACCGTCAGCGTCGTCGTCGGGTGGGATGCTTAGTGCTCTGCAGTGAAGCAGTTCTTGGTGTCAGGCCGATGAAGCGGCCTCGCAGCGAAAGCTGCAGGAACTGCGCACGGGTTATGCCGAGCAGGGCGAAGCCTGGCTCCGCACCGAGCTGGAGAAGCAGAGTCGGGATGAGCTGGCTAAGCTCTGCGTCGCTTCGGAGGTGCGACAGAAGTCAGCCGGGCGCAAGCTCTCCAGAGCGGAGCTGTTGGAAGCTCTATCACAGAGCATTGCCGGGGAGCAGGCTTCATGGGGAAGCGGCGTTCTTGAGGATTGTCCATGTCAGCTTCGGTTGCAGTGAGCTGTCAGCGTCGTCGTCGGGTGGGATGTTTAGTGCTCTGCAATGAAGCAGTTCTTGGTGTTAGGCCGATGAAGCGGCGTCGCAGCAAAGGCTGCTCGAGCTGCGCACGGGTTATGCCGAGCAGGGCGAAGCCTGGCTCCGCACCGAGCTGGAGAAGCAGAGTCGGGATGAGCTGGCTAAGCTCTGCGTCGCTTCGGAGGTGCGACAGAAGTCCGCCGGGCGCAAGCTCTCCAGAGCGGAGCTGTTGGAAGCTCTATCACAGAGCATTGCCGGGGAGCAGGCTTCATGGGGAAGCGGCGTTCTTGAGGATTGTCCATGTCAGCTTCGGTTGCAGTGAGTGAGCTGTCAGCGTCGTCGTCGGGTGGGATGTTTAGTGCTCTGCAATGAAGCAGTTCTTGGTGTCAGGCCGATGAAGCGGCGTCGCAGCGAAAGCTGCAGGAGCTGCGCACGGGTTATGCCGAGCAGGGCGAAGCCTGGCTCCGCACCGAGCTGGAGAAGCAGAGTCGGGATGAGCTGGCTAAGCTCTGCGTCGCTTCGGAGGTGCGACAGAAGTCCGCCGGGCGCAAGCTCTCCAGAGCGGAGCTGTTGGAAGCTCTATCACAGAGCATTGCCGGGGAGCAGGCTTCATGGGGAAGCGGCGTTTTTGAGGATTGTCCATGTCAGCTTCGGTTGCAGTGAGCTGTCAGCGTCGTCGTCGGGTGGGATGTTTAGTGCTCTGCAATGAAGCAGTTCTTGGTGTCAGGCCGATGAAGCGGCGTCGCAGCAAAGGCTGCTCGAGCTGCGCACGGGTTATGCCGAGCAGGGCGAAGCCTGGCTCAGCGGCGAGTTGGGGAAGCAGAGTCGGGCGGAGCTGGTTGGGCTCTGTGTCGCTGCGGGTTTGCAACGACACCGTGCCGGGTGCACGCTTACCAAGCCGGAGTTGTCGAAAGCTCTATCACAGAGCATTGCCGGGGAGCAGGCTTCATGGGGAAGCGGCGTTTTTTAGGATTGTCCATGTCAGCTTCGGTTGCAGTGAGCTGTCAGCGTCGTCGTCGGGTGGGATGTTTAGTGCTCTGCAGTGAAGCAGTTCTTGGTGTCAGGCCGATGAAGCGGCGTCGCAGCAAAGGCTGCTCGAGCTGCGCACGGGTTATGCCGAGCAGGGCGAAGCCTGGCTCCGCGGCGAGTTGGGGAAGCAGAGTCGGGCGGAGCTGGTTG